ACATTACATTACCCATCATAAATATTGTCATTTCTGGCTTCAAAAAAACAAGATGGCCGACGGCCATAACTCCAAACTCAAGCCTTCAAATCGGTGGTCCACAAACCTGTGGCTCAACTGTTTATTCTGACTTCTCCTCAGGTTTCTTGCCCCGTTGGAGTTTGTTGAAGTGAAGTTTCCAGATCCCCGCTCTATACAGCAGATCTCAAGTTTCTATAAACTGAAATTATCCTTTGAAGGGTTAGTTAACCCAAAATACACAAACACATATTTGACCTCGTACTCCTTGTGATATCTAGTCATGCTGATAGTTTCAGGCTTCTCTTTCAAGGAAATAAACTATTTCTCTGGATAACCTACAGTCTCACATCACCATCAGCAGTGTTGATCGGGTCTTCAGTAGACATGATTTCCAATGAAGAATGTGGAAGATGATGACTAATCTTTTGATGTTCCACTGTGTTAGCCCATTTACCTCAAATCATTCATTACGGTTGACTGATTTTGTAAGGCATACAGCAGTTACTTTCTAATTTGCCAGATGTTCTGCTGTTGTGATGTTAGCTATTGTTGCAGGAGAGTTGTGAGTATCGCTGTTTGGAGCGGATGTGCTGGCTCTGGTAAACCGTTGCGTCCTCTGCATGTTAGCTTTCTGTGTTGTTGATTTCACTATATTACAGTAATAGTCATGCTGTTGGATTTCGGCAGAATCGCTTCCCCCATCTTTCACCGGTAGGGGCTCAGTGTTTGCACAAGGCTCTACAGGACAGATCTATATTATTGCACTTAAATAAATATATATATAATAAATAAAATCCACAGCAGGCCATTTATCTGTTCGTGTTCGCTCCTCGTGGCAAATGCTCAGACTCAGCTGGCAGAACTCTTCATACACACACGTCATATTCTGATTCAGGACAGCTGGTCGTCATGTGACACTTGAAGGAGCACTGCAGAGTGACACAGTGGCACTGACAAACCTCCAATCAGAACAACCTCACAGCTTACCATTACCCAGTGATTGAGCACCAATGGCTTTGCAAGCAGTTATTGTGTGTTCGTGCAATAACAGAGTCGGGCAGCCAACTCCCCCAGGAGGAGCCGCTGAAATCCGATGTAGATGAAGGTCATCTCCCAGTCAGACCTGTTCAACTCGGCTCTCAGCGGAAACCTCAAGCCCTGTGCTGGATGAATGGAGAGGAAAACAATAGACTGTGCTGCTTTTGTGCCCTTTGACAACTACACCTGACTGCTTTTCTATAGATCTTGATCGGGAGAGGGATCGCACAATCTTTTTAACTAAGTGGAAGATTAATAAGTGAATGAATGTGTTTTGAGTGGATTTCCAGGGTAAAGGAAAATAAGAAGGAGGGAGGTGGGGAAAGTGAGCGGAGTTTCGGGTAATTAGAAGTCAGGTCCGTTGACAGACGTTGGCCGGAGCTGGCGGTTTGACCGGCCAGAGGTCCTGGTCTGATTCCCCCGCTGTGGAGGGGAGCTGGGGGCGTGCCAGGACATTCCGCGTGTCACTTTCTGTACAGCCAGCCCACTTCTCTCTTATTTTGCAATTTCCTTTAAGGAAAAAAAAAAGAGGGTTAGAAGGAAGTACTATTGCTCACTTGCTCCTTTTCCATTCAGTTCCTTTAAACGGCTCAAGGAAGAAGGACTTTGTACCTAGCACTGTTCAAACACTACGTTTGAATTATTTTTATGAGGCACCTTTAGATTTTTTCCTCTCAAAATGGACTGTCTAAAAATGCAGCAAGCAGCAGAGCACAACATGAAAAGTAGGTGTCAGCATTTTTTGTTTTTGTTTTTGTTTTTTTTACCCTGGGGCAGCAGACGCAGCAAGTTCTGTCTGTTTTTTAAAAATTCTCTGACTTTTTTCACTGTGATTTCCTCCCTCTCCTCCTCCTTCTTCTTCTTCTTCTTCTTCTTCTTCGCCTCTTCATCCTCTCCTCTCCTCCAGTGCATCCCATGTGGCAGGGACCCCTCGCGGTACCAGGAGGTGATCGTCAGTCTCCCATCGACATTGTTGTGCGAAAGAGCGTCTTCGACTCACAGCTGACGCCTCTGGTCACTGATTACGACCCGCAGACCTGCCAACAAATCTGGAACAACGGTTACTCCTTTCTGGTCGAGTATGATGACACCACAGACAAGTCCAGTAAGTAATCTGTTGTGGCTCAATGTATACTTTCTGAAGTCTGGCCCTTAATTGTCCCTTGGAAATCTAGAAAGTAGAAAGCACAAGTTTGTGCCACTAATAAAGTTCCTCTTTATTAACTCATAGACTGTGAGCAAGTCAGTAGTTTCCTTTAATATCTGAGTGAACTTAAAGGAAATCTCAGCAAGGGGAACGCATGTTTTGATTCACACAGGAGGATAATCTCTTTCTTCACCCCCCCTTAAAGAGCTCTCTGTCTGTTGGGAAATCCAGTAATCAATGCTGCACTTAAAGCTGGTGATAAAAACCACAACTGCCACGTGGATCTGGTGACTGTCATGTGACTCGCGTGTCTGTCCTGACCTCAACAACTACTATATAGTCTGCCTTTAAAGCATTGGTAATTTTGGTATAATTACTGGGCCACACCAAAACACTGTATATGTTTCCAAACCATCAAATAAACTTTATTATAAGTTTTAAAGCTCCAAAATAAACCATTTTGTAGGTGTCACATGCCCTCAGTCTTTGTATTATGAGCTTAGTCGAGTACTGAGAGAACAAAAGCAGGTTTATATCAGTGAAAAGTTGAGAGCAGTATTTTATTACCAGTAAAATAAACAAAGGAACAATGGAGTGAGTGATGACTACAGGCATTATAAGTACAGATTCAGTCTTTAAGTGTTTGATTACAACAACATGTGATGCTCCTTATCTGTTGGTACTATTACTGACATTGATAAACACTTTACAGGTATAATAAAACTATCTAGCTTCATAGGTTATTGTTGTCTCTCATATTTCCTTGATCTAGGTCAGTTCTTTCTGCCTGAACAACCTGTTCCTCAGCAGACGCCCGGTGTGGGATCAATTCCTCCTTTTGGAGGAGGAAGCAGATACTAATGCTAACACATACTAGACAGTCAGAGATTCCTTTAGAGGGCAATTCATTTCATTCTTCTGAAAAGGATTGTGGAATGTTCCGTATGATGCACTGATCTACATGTCCTTTTACTTTTTGGTGCAGCACTGAAAGGGGGCCCCCTGCAAGACAAATTCAGGCTGTGCCAGTTCCACTTCCACTGGGGTGAGAGCAATGCCTGGGGGTCAGAGCACACATTGGACAGGAGGCTGTTCCCTGCAGAGGTACTGTGATAGAGAATGTGAAACATTTGTAATTCCTGCAGGGATATCAGGGTCTCTCTTTCTCTTTCTAATATTAAAATAATATCATATACCCTTTAGGCAATGCTTTTATCTGCCTCAGTGTTGTGAACATGTACAGGAGGTGTACACAAGAACACTTTACAGTATAATGTAGAACATCAAAAAATACAGAGCCACTCCTTCCACCTCAGTGTTTTTTTGAGATTAGCTTACCCTATGTAATAATATCTTGTCAGTAAATGCAAACTGAGAGTGCACATCAATAATCACTCTTTTTTTCAGTCTGTTCCTTTGGTCGATGTTGTTATCCGACAGTCCTGTAAAGCGCGGTGGGTGTGTATAGACTGATGTAGAGCTAGGCAGATAAAGCTGTGTCATGCTCTGTGCTGCATATGAACAACATTGTGCTAAGCAACATCTTTTAAGGATGTCCCGAATACAACTTTTTGGTATATTCAAAAACTTCAGCTGTCTGAGGGACTGACCCCATCTGCGATCAGTTAACTAGGCCACTACAGTGTCCCCTTCCTCACCCCCTCCCGTATCTGCAGAGAAACACAAGCTTCCTCCACACGCAGCTCACCTGCTGTTGTCGAATATTCGGGTCCACTAATGGACTGATGCGTGACATCCTCATTACCTGTAACAGCAGTACTTTGTTGCACACACCCTCTGTTGCTTTAAAAAGAAAACCGGACATGCCTGCTGCTGGGTTTGTGGAGCATGTTAAGTACAGGTGCTGCAGTCACATGTAGGACAGGTATGTGTGTTATTATGTGACCAGGCCTCTGACTGAAAAAGATATGTAGTGCTAAAGAAAGCATGTAATGAAAAGTTAGATACAGAGAGAGTGAGGGAGTCTGAATTCATAATTAGTTACTTTCTACATGACCACACAGTCTCTGAAGGGTTAAAAGAAGAAAGGAGCAATGAAAGAAAACAAATCAGCACTGCTAACAGGTTAAATGTTGACTTACTTTTCTTCTATTCACGTGTCCCTCATGAATGCCTGGAAAAATACTGAGGGTATTGTATTAATGACATCAAGTTATGTCGATACTGGAACTTTCCCTCCTCTCCTGGTTGTACAGTCGGTATCAGGCATGCTGCCAGGTTCTTTGATCTAGCTGTATTGCAGCATTTCTCTTTGTATTATTAAAGCCAAATTCAAACATTAGACGGCGTATTTGCCCCTCTCCAAAGTGGGTGGGGTTCAAAACCTGGTATATTTTCTATTTTCATGTTGTTCCATAACTTCAGCAACACTTATGTAACAACGGGGTTCCACTGACTCTGTGTGTGTCCTTTGCCGTGCCCTGGTTTGGTGGTGTTGGGAATGTGTCTGTGGTCACTGTTCTCCATCACTCAGCAGTCTTCGTGTGTGGTGGTGTGTGTGTGTGTTTGTGTGTGTGTGTGGTGGTGTGTTGTGTGTGTGTGGTTGTGTGTGTGTGTTTGTGTGTGTGGTGTGTGTGTGTGTGTGTGTGTGTGTGTGTGTGTGTGTGTGTGTGTGTGTGTGTGCGTGCGCAGAGGATCAAGTTACAGTCCTGACTGACAACTTTGTGCCATCTTTGCATGTAAATGGAAAGCCCAATCTATTTGTGTTAACCTTCGTGTATTGTCCATACCCAATCATAGAAAATGACTTATATAATATATATATATATAGATCACCGGACAAAAAGGGTTGAAATTTTTTCCAATTTAAATGTCCCACAAATATAATTAAAGTTAATTATCATTTCCTTCATCCAATAAAAAGTTACCATTTATGTTTTCCTGGAAATGTTTAATTGTATGTTAGCCTGAGCTGTGGCCAAATTAATGTTGGAGAACAACTGAGGTCAATTCAGAAAGTGGAATAATTGGTTGTGGTGAGAAAGGCCAAGCACACCATGAAAGCGAGTTAACAGAGTGTCCATTTAAAGATGACTACTAAATTTGAACAGGCCCTGTCCTGTATTGCCAAGAATATATATATTTTTTTTTTTAAAGCGTTGGAGTTGCACAAAAAACTCTTATTTTGAAAATCAAGGCAAGTAGGAATATTAGTGGGTTATTTGGAGGACAGAATGAGTGGCTGAGTGGAATCAGAGCAGAGGGGTTAAAAAGATCAAGGTCATGATTTACAGTCTCACACACAGACACACACACACACAGAGTTATGATACGTGTGTACCCTGTGTGTGTTTTCAGCTCCACCTGGTTCACTGGAACTCTGATAAGTACAGCTTGTTTGAGGAGGCGGTGATGGAGGACAACGGATTGGCTGTTATCGGAGTCTTTCTTAAGGTATACCACACACACAACACACACTCTCACTTTCAAACTTTCAGCCTACCTTGTTGCACAGAGAACTGCACCATCCAGATAATGCTGTATACATTACATGGTATGTGCAGGTTTACACTGTAATTGCAACCCAGATTAATGTCTAATCCTTGTGCAGGTGGGAAAGAGACACGAGGGGCTGCAGAAACTGGTTGACGCTCTGCCTACTATCAGACACAAGGTTAGTCCACACACACACACACACACACACACTCTTGATTTCCTAATAATTTTTTCATCAGTCCAGCGTGGAAATATAATGGCCCTTATAAAGTCAATTTCAAACAGCACTGGGCTAGAAGGTAGATACCTACGCCCTCTAGTGGTTTAGCAGAGACACTACAGGACTGGTCAGACAGGCCTTTTTCACAGGAATCAGAAAATCTACAAGTACGATTAACCTTTTTCACCCAAGAGCTAAATTCAGGAACCAAATCTGGAAGTAGCTAAAGTTGTATCACATGCATTATTGTACGCTATTTGTTACTTTAGAATTTACACATATGGTAAACCAATGCACAGCCTATTACCTGTTACCAACAGAAGTTATATAAAGATAGTTTTTAATGTCAGAAAGCTTATCTGAAAATACATATAGGTGGTTGTACCTTTCTAAGGTGACTGGCTGGAGGTTATAGTTTGCCCTTCTTTCACATCACTGCCACTACACTGCTTATCATTAATAATGTCTGATAAGCTTGGTGTTTGTCCAGCCAGATGAAATGTCACAGTTGTGAAGCACTCATTATGTAATAACTTATTTGACATATTTTATATTGGATAATGATTAGATAATGATGGTTGTAGTATTTAGATAGTTCCAGTTTTCTGTTATTATATTAGTCTGTGGTACTGATAGTGGATGTCTTCTGGGATTTTGGCCCATTTATAGTTGTATTAATAATTGAAATACTTTAATGATTTTATTATATTAAGAATATTAGAACCTTTGTATGAACAGTGCAGCAAAGTTCAGCAGTGATCTTCCTTGTCTCCTGCCTGTGACGTTCAAAGTAATTCAGCTTACAGCTTAACTGACCATAGATTTTGTTTCTGTGTGTCTCCCTCTGGCCGTCTGCAGGACAGTGTGGTGGAGTTTACCAGGTTCGACCCTGCCTGTCTGTTACCCACCAACACTGAAGACTACTGGACCTACCATGGCTCTCTGACCACTCCCCCTCTGACTGAGTCCGTCACCTGGATCGTTATGAAGCAGCACATAGAAGTCAGCCATGATCAGGTATCTGAGTGTGTTTTAAACTAAACTCTTTGTAATGTGGCTTAATGTTGATTGTGTTTTAATATTGAGCTTAATTTTATCAAGATGTATTTCAGTTCGGTTTAGTTTAACTTAAAGCTGCAGTAACATCTTTTTCAGCAGAGAGCTGAATAGATTGATAGACTCGCTGTATACTACCTGCCCAGCACCAAACAGTAGGCAGCTTTTGCAGGTATTTTTCTCAGAAGTTGGTGGAAGCCACAACAGAGCTCAAAGAAAAGTAAATATTGGATTTTCATCAGATGGCTAGAAACACGACTCCAAATAAATGCTAATATTTAGTATTTGTTATACAGAACCATTTGGGATACTGTTTGGAAAAGGGCAGACACTTAAATAGCAGTTGTTTTCGAGCAAATGGTTACTTCTCACACACACACACCTGCTGTTAAACCAGGTCCATAGCTGTTTTCTTAATTCTTCTCCCGGTGGATTTCTGCCTATTACCGCCCACTCCCGCTGTGTGTTTCCACTGCCACAAGCATTCTGACTATTCACTCTTCCCGCAGGTGAAAAGATGTTATTTTTCTGTGTCAGTAACAACTGAGAAACGTCTCCAAATGGCAGCCTTGCCTTGCTTTGTAAAAACCCACTTTAATTTTCCTCACAACTTAATTTGTTAGCTATGTCTCCATCCTTCTGGTGGATGCAAGATAAATCCCGGGACTCAGACTCAGGTGTTTTTTACCGCCCGCTCCCATGAGATTTGTAATCCCAATGCAGCTCTCTAGCTCATGCTTCCCAGTAGTATCTTCCCGTAGCGGCCACAAACGATAAATAGAAGAAAGATGGAATTTTGCGTGATCTTGTGATCAGCTGCCCTCAAGGTTAATGTTTTTTTGCTGTTTCCAAATAATCTTTAAATGCAGCATTAAGCTGAAATGGAACTCTAGACCAGCCACTAGAGGGCTCCTGTTGTCGTTTAGAGTAAAACTCATCCTCAGTTTCTTTACGTAGCGCCTATGCTTTCGGAAACTGGTTCCAGAAGCTAAAGGGTAACCCTTATCACGTTGCAGCAATCCAAATCATTTTGAGGTGTGCCCAGCTTTTAGTACAATGAAGGTAGCTGAACTTGCATGACAGCATGACAGCGTCAAGACATGCAACCTATTACTCTTACACAGAGGATGAAATTACTCAGCCTGTGAACGTTTTGTGTAAGACTCTTCCCTTTTCCCCCTTTAGCTGGCGGTCTTCCGGAGCCTTCTTTTTACCTCAGCCGAGGAGGAGGTACAGAAGAGCATGGTGAACAACTTCCGCGTGCAGCAGCCTCTCTGTGGCCGCACCGTGCGCTCTTCCTTCACTCCCTTCCTAAAGGAGGCACCGTCAGCTGAAGGCGACAAACACCCCCACTGACACTGCTGGACCCAGTACACACATCCTCTCACACAGTAACACACACCATGACCACCATTACACACAGTGACCTAACAAAACACCCTTTACTCTGTGAGCAGCTGTCCAGACTTTTTTTTTTTTTTTTAACAGATTTGCTACATTAAGTATGACAATGTTTCCTCAGGGTAACTGCAGTTATACTTATTGCTGTTTTTCTTTCATAGAGTGAATGTTTTTATTATTACAAATAGTAAAGCGTTTTATATGGTAGGGATACTATTGTTTCTGGGTAGTTTAAACTGGGTAGATTTTTATTTTCTTTAGATTTTCCTGATTCTGGTTTCACCAAAAATTAACCAATAAGGGAGGGTTGCTGTGGGGAAAAAGAGTAGTTTTACTGATTTTATTAACATGAATCGTATTTATTATACGTTTACTATTCATTCAGTTACTGTACATGAGTGCTGCTCTCTACACTGAGCTGCTGCGACAAACTCAGCAGCACTGTGTGCTGGCCACAGTCTGTACTACAGCAGAGACTGTTCTCCATATAAGGAGGCTGAAACTGCTGTTAGTTTGCAGCTGAAAGCCCAGGAGATTTTAACAGACTGGAGATATCAACTTGGGAGTATCTCTCGAGTAGAAAATGTTCTAATTATCACTGAGGGTTGTGTGTCACTTTTTAAAATCCTGTATGGTAGGTTGTTGGGTTCATCATTAACTTGATCATTTATACATTAATAATAATAATGATAATAATAATAATAATAATAGTAATAATAAAAAAATGTATCTTTTTTTAAATCTGTTACAAAGAGATTATACTGTATACAGTACATCTGACATTCAGAAACTTTTTTTTTTAATTTTTTTTTTACAGTATGTGACATTCAAACATCCAACACATACAGTAGAGTTTTAAATGAACTCTGCTGAGCCTTGGTTCTTCTACGCAGAACTATTAAATATGTTACAAATACGCACATGCCAGGTTACAATAGCACATACTGAACTAAGCAGTTCTCTTTTGTTACTCCTTTTTACAGTGGTTTCATGTACCATAACCACAGTGCCTTAAATGTTCTCTGTGTGAATCACTGCTATTTAGCAGAGATTCCCTCAACACATCTCCGAGCATTAACATCCGTTCCACACTTGTTCCTTTAAGCTATGGTTCAAGTGCAGTGGTTGCTCACAGTAACAGTCAAGGCTCAGGTGATATTTACTATGATCCTCACCTCATTTATCTTTTTTGAATGAAGTGGAAAGTGCTTTAGCCACTGAGTTCAGGAACATGATGTAAACCTGGAAAGGACTCTCAGGTCTGACTGATTGAATCAAGTCTAAATCTGGAGGGAACTGTTGTCTCCATTAGTCTGTCTGGTTTAGTTAGTTTTCTGTTGTCTCACATTTGTCTGTTGAAGACAAAGATTAATCAAACATTATTGGACAAATCAAATTTTACTGTTTTGGGTGGGAAAGGGTTTAAAGCTGCAGTAGGTAACTTTTACAAAAATACACCCGACCTGAACAAAAACAACCAATCAGAGCCAAGAAAGACTTTCTTGCAAATGCCATTAGGAGCACTAGGACGAGCCAGAGGAACCTG